AAGTGATAATATCACTTTATACTGTATTAGTGAGACCATTCTTGGACTAATGCATACAGTTCTGGCCAGCAGAATATAAAAAAGGTGTTGAGACCCTGGAAAGTGCACAGAGAAGAGCAACAAAGATGATAAAGAGTATGGAAGCTAAATCATATGATAAACAATTGAGGGAGCTAGATATGCCTATCAAAGAGAAGGATTGGGGGGGGGGGGAATGTGATAATTGTCTTCCAATATCTGAGGGGCTATTACAGAGAAGAGGGGATTGACTGTAAATATTAGTTCCCAACAAGGATCTGTGGGGTTTTAATCCAGTCTTGGACTGTAAAAGTGACCCACTTCAGAGTATAACCAACTGGGGGCAACATATTAACAGGGAGTCCATCAGGATTCAGTGGAACAGCAAATAGACCTAAATCCATGATCACTAGAAAAGAAGAAGATCTACTTTGAGAAAATAGTAGACAAGTTTCTTTGACAGAGAAAGTTATGAATAACTGAAAACCTGTTTTTCACATAGATTTGCAAGGATTCATAAAAACATGGCTTTGAGCACACTAGCATGACACATTTTGCAAGAAACTCATAAAAATACATAAGAATCAAATTATAGCTCTCCCATGTGGGCCCTTCCTTGAGATTTCTTTATGCTTAGCCACAGAGAGGAAAAAAATAGATTTAAGGGCCTCCAAGTTTGTGTCAGAACTTTAGTTTCTATTGGGGCAAAGTGGATAGCTGGCTAAATATCTGATGTCCCTCTTAAACTGAAAATGATGTTCAGATTTTTTTTTCTTTCTGAATTTCTCTACTTTCTTGGCACTGTTTCTCAGCTGTTTTCACTCAGACTTGTTCTACAGGCAAATAATAATAATCTCATGAGGGCCTTAGGTCTTTGAGCACAATAAGACCGATTGTAGCAGCTTCCTCTTGTGACAGTTATCAAAAATAGCTTGAGTAAGACATCCAAACATGTCTAGCCATCCTGTTTGCTTCGGACATAACCCTTGGAACATTTTTTGTGGACTGCATTTGTTAAAGTAAGCATTTGTTTGCTCTTTTTTTAAAAAAAAAATAATAACATTAGCCTAATTATCCAAATTGCACTTATTTTCCTAATTCCCAATGTGTTTTGGGACAGAGGGGCCCCAAAGAAAGGACACTGTACTTTTGTCCATTTGAAAGCTCAAATAAGTAAACTGATAGTTGCCCAATAGTTCTGAACCCAGGGATAACAGACAGACAGACAGACAAATAGAGATTGATAGAGAATAGAGAGAGAGAAAGAGAGAGGGGGGTAGATAGATTGATAGAGGAGAGAGAGAGAGAGAGAGAGAGAGAGAGAGAGAGAGAGAGAGAGAGAGAGAGAGAGAGAGAGAGATCTGGAACAAACAATTCCT